ACCTGGAACCTGAACGCCTCCCGCCTTGATCCCTCGCACCGCCCGGAGCCTGAACGCCTCCCACTAACTGGAGCCAGAACGCCCGGAGCCTGAACGCCTCCCACCACCCGGAGCCTGAACGCCTCCCACCACCCGGAGCCTGAACAGGGGCCCAACCAGAGGTGGCGGGGCTGCTGCTAGTGGCTGCAGCTGTCCACGCACTCCTGGGCCCTGACGAACACCTGGTAGACGTTGACCAGGGGGAACATGGCCAGCGCGCCCAGCAGGGAGCCGGCCTGGATGGAGATGCCGCACCACAGCAGGGCGGCGTGCCCGGCCTCGTGCAGCAGCGTCCCGATCACCACCTTCAGGTAGGAGAAGAGGCCGGTGAAGCAGATCCAGGAGACCACCTGCAGGGGGCGCCAGAGAGCAGAAGTCAGTCACCCTGCACAGCACAAACTGCAACCTGCTCTGGTATCTGATGAGAAAAGCAGCTCCTTTTTACTGGTTGCATTTAAATGCCAATCCAGTTTCACTTAAACAAAAAAAAACAAAAACACAAACCAACAAATGGCAAAAATGCACCCCTGACAGAAATAAGAAAACAGGAAAAAACATCCTCATAATCCCAATCTCTTTAATTCTTCTTATATCAAGATTTTACTTGTGATGTTGGGATGCAGGGCATGAGAGCACAAAAATGTCCATTCTGAATGTGTCTGAATTTGTTTAATACAATCGACAAAGCTGACTGACTTGACTAATATATTTGAAAGTTCATACTTCCGCTCTTTTTCTTCTTATATTAAGCTTTACTGCTTTTTCTAATTTACATAACAAAGAATATGTATAGAATATGTTTGTTTGTATTACAGAATGGATAATACAGCCAAATTTGACTTTTAAATAGTCTATAGCTTCTACTTAGGCTCTTATCGTTTCTTATAATAAGACTTTTATTTCTACTTGACAGTACAAAGGAGGGCGTGTCCTGACCACTCACCACTAGCGCCACACCGGCCGAGCTGCCCAGCAGCGGCGGGCAGGGGCTGAGCGCCGCCAGCGCCATCAGGTAGGCCGCGAAGACGCCAGCAGCCACAGACAGGAGGCCCAGACCCAGCGAAGACCTGCAGGATAAAGTTTCACCAGAATTTACCAGAAAGCCTCAGACAGGGACTAAAATTGAAGAAGAAATGTAAAAAATCTTTTGACTATTTCCCAGATTGTATTTCGCGGCAACTGGCAGTGAGAAAGCTGCTAAAAGCTGTTTTAATTCTCGCTTTAGCGCCGTCAATACGTCACTTCTTAAATTTTGAAATTGTTTTGATGCGAAAAAGTTGCTATTTAGATCCTTAATATGCGATTAGTTTATTCAAATGACGCCTGTTTGTAAATGTGTTCCGACGTTTTCATGGATTGAATTATAAAGTATATATATATATACATACATACATACACATCCATCCATCCATCCATCCATCCATCCATACATACATCCATCCATACACACATACATACATACACACACATATATATGAAGGAGCCCTTCTCACCTCAGCACCACAAACATGGCCAGGAAGCAGGCCAGCGGGTTGGCGATGTTGCCCAGCACCACCGAGAGGTGAAAGGTCATGGAGCTGTAGGGCAGGCAGACGAAGCTCTGCACCGAGGGCAGCACGCCGTTGGTCAGGCCGTTGGAGACGGCGAGCAGCAGCAGCAGGTAAATGTTCCTTCCCGTCCAGAAGGTGGGCGCCGGCGGGCTGTCCTCCGGCGCCGGCGGCGTCCCGCCGTTGTACAGCCGGTGCGTCTCCTCGCCGTCTTTAGCCGCCGCCGCTGTTGCCGCTTCCTCGCCGCTGGGCTCTGGCTCCCGCTGCTCAGCATCCGGCGCCCTGCGCGTCAGTGCCAGGAAGCTCAGCGCGGACACGGTGAGCATCACAAACAGGAACCAGAAGAAGTTCTGGGCGGGGAAGCTCTCGGCGAGGCGCACGGGGCTCTCGGTGCCGTTCACGCTGCGGCACTCCACCTTCCCCACGCCCTGGCCGAGCGCCACCACGCAGGGGAACAGGGCGCTCAGGCCCTGGCCCACGAAGAAGGTGCGGATGTACTGGGGCGGGTAGCGGAACATGAAGGGCAGGAAGGTGACGTTGGAGGTGCAGCAGACCAGCGCCAGCACGAAGCTCAGCAGCAGGAAGGCCAGCGAGCGCGGCTGCCCGCCCACCGTCACCAGCTCGGACCAGGACAGCGCCAGGCAGGCCGAGGCCACCACCGCCAGCGCCTGGATGCAGTGGATGAGCAGGCGCTCGTTCAGCCGGCCCGGCGCGCAGTGGTGCGTCAGGGTCACCGCGATGGGACCCAGGTTCCCCAGCGCGATGAGCACCGAGAGGTAGGCGGGCAGATTCCAGCCTAACGACACAGAAAAACCACAAACCAGGAGGGAAACGGTGAGGTTAGCAATCAGGACTGAACGCTGATGCGTCGAAATGAGCTAAAAACACACAGAAAACACAGAGAAAAACCCATAAATGTCACAATGTGTCATTATTTATGCTAACATAAGTCACAATGATGGATGCACAAATCACTTAAATAACAGGTTCAACTGAACTGTTTTTAAAGCAGTTAAATGTTGCCGTTTCTGTGGGGAAATAATCCATTAAAAAGCCATTAAAAGCTTCTTTGACCCTCCTGCTGCTTTTGTTTCTGTAATTGTGTCTTAAGAACTGAAACCTCAGAAATAAAATTAAAAAACGGGTGCACATATTTTTTTAAAAGACTGCAGCATAGATGATCAAAACAAAGTGGTTTTGCCTTGTTTCCCTTTATCATCACATTCCCTGATATTTAAAGCCTTAAATCTGCTTTCAGCGACACAGTGAAACACAGTGAGACATGTGTTTAAAAATCTCATGCTGTCATCCAACGATTTCACGGCCTTTTCAGAAACAAATCATTGTTTATTTCCTCCTTAAAATGTTAAACCTCAGAGATCTGTGCTTTTTTTAAATGATGCAAAAAGAAAAAAAGGCGAGAGGGGTAAGTAATGATTATGGGGTTGTATAAGACGTCGTTTTCTGTAAGTTTTCAGCTCTAATAATTAATAAAAACTGGAATTACTGGGACATTTGTGAGCAGTTTTTTGGTAGGAACGGTCGCGCAAAAATGACGTAACAGCTGAATTTACTATTATCTTTTAGCCAGTTGTGATGTTCATCAGTTAGTTATAAAATATATAGTTATTTTTTCTTTCTTTTCTTAAATGAGGATAATTAATTTGTTTGATCCACTTTTCAAACACAAAATAAAATTAAAATAAAATCACGCGGAAAGCACCAGGCCGGGGGAGCGTGTGCCGTCCCCCGGAGATGGACACTGACCTTCGGGCAGCACGTCGACAACCACCGGGAGCTCGACCCAGAGGCTGTTGACAGAGATCCAGGAGCCCATGGCGAACAGAGCCATCAGCCCGTGGGTCACCGCGGCGCTGCTCCACCAGCTGCCCGGCATGGCGGCGCTCGGTCGGGCAGAGAGAACCACGAAACGCCCGGACTACGACCGACTTTCCTTTGAGCGGAGCGCCGGAGCTCCGCTGAGCCAAACGCCGCTTTAACCTGAGCCGGAGGACAATTACGCAAAGCTTCCCGCCCCTCTGGCTGCATTCAGGGACCCTCGTAACTTCCTGAATCGCTTTTATAAACTTTTCAATTGTAAATGTAGCAGCATCTGTTCATCAGCGAGGTTAATGTTTATATTCTACTCATAGCTTAGTGTTTTTAAAAGCATAATTGTATGTAGTTTACTATCTTTACATTATATTATTATTTTAAAAATTGCAGTTATGATTCCGGTTATGGTCATTTACCTATACGATATAAATTCATTCTAAAACTTTAAGTAATCCTGTAATATATCTAAAGTGAAAAAGCTGATATCGTCACAGTATTCAATGATTGGCTGTTTGAATATATAACAATAAATAACTGCGTTTTTAAGCTAAGCTTTGTAAGCTTTGTAAATCCTGCATTCTGGTGACAGTGAAGGCGTCGCCAGCTGAAGGCCGTTGATAACGAGCTGCCGTTTAAAGTTACTAGTTCTCTATCTGTTGGAAAAGTTATGCAAAGAAAAGAAAATCTAGGTCAAAGTGCAGGAATGCTGGTGGGGAATGGGAACACTGGGAAGACTAATTACCCACCGATGTGGATCCCACTCACTTTGGTTCTTTACCAAGGAGGTAAGAACAGTTTTCTGTAAAGATGCTTTGAATAAATCAGTGTGTTTAAAGCTTTTAATGATAAAACAGTGAAAAGCTGTTGATACTTTCTTTATACTTCACCTTCTAAGCAGCCAGACATTCTTTAACCTCTTTAAAGTGTGGCTTAGCAGCAGCTTTCTGCGTCTTTGTCTGCTTCTTCTCTCGTTTTCAGTCCTCGTAGCTGAGCATTTTCAGAGGAATGTGTTTTTTCTTTGTTCAGCATCTGAACTTTGAGTCATTCAGGCAGAAAAAAAGGCCCGTAACTCAAGGGATGAGCCAGCGCTGTGTCCAATCAGCAGTTTAGAGTGGATCTTTAGGCTCTTTGTCAGCAGCAGCCTGTCACAGAGACACATCATTTGTTCCATTTCTGTAGCTGATGGAGGGAAAAGGCCAAAGAAAACACAGTCTGACAGACAGGAAACAGGATTTCTGAGGATTCCTAATCGAGCAGATAAAGAGGATCTGAAAGTGACGTCCTTCAGAAAGAGGAACAAATCCAAAGGAAAGCCAACCCCCAAAGAAGAGCTTTGTGGTATCCTACACTAGCCTTCATAATTCAAACTTTAAACACCCATTTCCCTGTTTTTTGGAGTTAAAGAAACACAGAACTATACATCCAGATTGATAAATCTTTATCAGGCACTCTTATACAGTGAAAACAGCTGTTTGATCTGATAAAGCCCATGCTTTCCCTTTTCCTTCATCCACAGTAACAGCATGATAATGACGTCATTATTACATCATAATAATGATGTCATTACCTTTGATAAAACCACAATGATTATGCAAAAATAACAAAAATGAACGACTGTCTCGTTTATCAGTGAGCAGGAGGAATAAATCAACCTTTGCAGAGACTAAAATTGAGTTTATTAAAAAATAAAACAGTACATTAAAAGCCATAATTCAGACATATTTAAAAAACAGAAGTTAGTGGAGCTGACTCAGGAAGGCCGGCTCTGTCCTGGGGGTCCAGCTGGACTCTGTGTGGGTGTCTGAGAGAAGGATGCTGTGCAAACTGCACTGTTTGCCACCAGCTGCTGATCTCTGACCTCCAGCTAAAGCACCTCCAGTTGAAGCAGACTCATTACCTACCTCTGGAACAGTCTGGATCAGGGGTGTCCAGCTCCAGTACTCTCTGGGCTTCTGTCCTGCAGGTTTTACAGGTTTTTCCTGTTTCAACACACCTGATTCACACCAAAGTGCCAGCAGGAGGGTGAAAAGCTCAACAAGTCCAGAGCGGGTCCAGTTTAATGAGAATAAGTGGTGCAGAAGCAGGAAAAAGTATAAAACCTGCAGGATAGCAGCCCAAAGAGGCCTGGAGTCTGACCCCCCTGCTCTAGATAATGTGTCCTGAACACTACATTTGACTAAAAAAACATGTTTATTCCTTATCTGTTTTATTTTGAAAAGGCAGCTAGATTTTTTTGCACTGCTCACTACTTTAGTTGCATTTACTTATTCTAACCCTGTTTCGCAACCTCTTCCCCTTAGGGTCAACAAAGCGTTTTGAATTTTTTATTTGAGTCTAAAATCCTGCGGGTGGAGACCCACATGGACCTCCTCCTGCGTTCTGCTTCCTGTGCATGGCCCCCTGAGGGGGTCACGTTTTCGGGTCGGCGTCTGCTGGAGGCTCAGCCGCCGCCGCCGCCGCCGCCGCTGCTGCTGCTGCTGCTGCCGCCGCCGCCGCCGCTGCTGCCGCTTTGGCTGTGGACTTTTTGGGCGCCAGCACCAGGGAGTAGCCGGGCTTGACTCGGGGAAGGGCAAACTTCAGCTTGATGGCCATCTGGGAGCTGCTGAACAGCTCGCCGCTCAGGTGGGGGCTGGCGTTGCCCAGGACCATCTTCTGGTAGAGGAGCTCGCAGCGGACGCCCTCCCGCTTCTCCCAGCGCGACTTCCCCTCCAGACGCAGCATCATCTTGTCCACGTCCTGCCTGGTCTTGCAGGGCCCCCCGTTGCGGGTCACCGTGGCAACGATGTAATCCCTGTCCATGATGTCCTCGCGCTCCTCCCGACAGACCCGCCTGGCCTTCTTCGTCTGGGGGCTCTTCTTCGCCGGCTGGCTGGAGGACTCCTCGGAGCTGCTGCCCGAGGAGTCGGAGGCGGACTCGTCCTCCTGGGAGCTGTCGGACAGCTTCTTCCCCGGGGAGCCGTCGGCCATCTTGTAGGGACTGGCGTGGCCGAAGGGGTACTCGGCCATCAGAACCGAGAAGGTGCAGCCCGCCAGCTTTTGGCTGGCGTCCCCTGGCGGCGTCCCGGAGAAGGCCCCTCCCGGCAGGAAGTCCCCGAGGTGCTGCTGGGTGACGGCCGCTATGGCCTTGACGGCCCTCTTCAGACAGGCCCTGATCAGGTCCCTGTTGGTGTGCCACTGGCCGCAGTACTCAAACACCCCCTGGAAGCGCTGCTCCTGCAGGGGCGGCTGCTGGAAGACGTCGGTGGCGTCCTCGGGCTCCAGCAGCGTGGACGGGTCTTTGGACCAGTCCAGGAACCTCTGGTAGAGGCCAAGCAGGCGCCGGCTGAACAGCGCGTACTCGCCCCCGCCGCTCAGCAGCTGCCAGTAGGGGCCCAGCACTTTGCAGTGGACCACGGCCAGCACGCACACGAAGCTCTGGATGGCGCCGTCGCCGGCGTCCGCCGCCACGCTCTCCAGCACGGCGTTGGGGCAGCCGTCGGCGGCCATCGACTGCAGGTCGGAGAGGAACAGCCCCACCTCCCGGTGGTGGTGGGTGAGGCCGGCCGCCGCCTCGAAGAAGCCGGCCACGCGGTTGGAGCGGCTCGACGCCAGCCGGGACGGGTTCCCCTTCTCCTGGCAGAACTCCAGCCAGTGGCGCCGGAAGCTCTGCCTCCCGGGCGCCCGCGGGCCCAGCAGCTCGGCCGCCATGAGCACGTAGCGCTGCGTGGCGCTCTCCTGCAGGCTGACGAAGCCCTGGAAGTGCGGCAGCCGGTCGCGGCCCAGCTTCTCCCCCCTCAGCCGGATGACCTCCCCCTCGAAGCCGGCCACCAGCCGCTCCAGCGCGTCGTGCACGTCCACCAGGAAGCAGGCGTTCTGGTGGAGGAACCGGACGGGCGGCAGCAGCTGGGCGCCGGCGTGCCGCGCGGCGCCCAGCTGCTGCTCGAAGGCCAGCATGGCCGGGTGCTCCCGGCAGGTCAGGGCGTACTGGTTGCGCAGCAGGTCCAGGGAAACCTGCCGGCAGGCCGTCGTCTTCCCGCCATACACGCTGGACAGCTTCTGGACAGACAGCATGGCCATGTCCAGCAGGGTCAGAGGCTCCCCTACGCCCCCCATCTCCTCCTCCTCCTCCTCGCTGTCGGCGCCGCCCGACGCCGTTCTGGACTCCGCCTCCGGGCTCTCGCTCTCTCTCCCACAGCTGCCGGCGTCGTCCCTTCTCGGCCGTTTCCTCACAAAGAACTTGGGGGTCTTCTTCTTGACCAGCTCGAAGGGCGTCTGCAGCAGGGTTTCCATGGCCGTGTTCCTCCGGTGGCTCCTGGTTTCATAGTTTAGGAAATGCACCCTCAGCTTCTTTATCCGGCCCTTCAGGTGCTTGTAGGCCTTCTGGATGTCGCCCTTCTTGCAGAACTCTGGGTTGAAGTTCCTCAGCCAGGTTACTATGACGATGGGGGATATTTTCTCCCTGTTGACGAAGTTGACCAGCTCGAGGATGAGCCCGTTTGTGACCTCGATGGACTGGGCCCGCTCAGAGAAGTCCCGGAGCTCCAGGAGGTGCTGCCGCTCCACGCCGATGCTGTCGCAAATGGGCCCCACGAAGTTGAAGTTGACCTGCGAGTCCAGGAAGCCGAGCCTGGCTGGACCCCGCAGGCTCAACGTCGTGGCCACGCCCCTTTCGATCAGGCGCCGGAAGTCGGCCGACTGATGAGCGGGAAAGATTTTCTTCAGCCAGCCTACGATGGCTAACCAAGGGAAGTTATTGTCCTCTCTAAGAAGTCCCACTTGAATCAAGACTCTGTTCCTGCAGGCCGACGGGTCCAGGTCCAAACCCTCGCCAGACTGGGGGCCGACGAAGTCCGACACAAGCTTCCAAAAGTACTCATCCCCTGAAAGCAGGGAAGTTTGTCAGGGATCAGAGGATTTATGGCTGATTTTTGTGTCTCTGTTGGAGTCATACTTACTCAGGTTAACTTCGGATACAACGGGTTTCCCATCGAGGGAAAAATCCTGACCTTCCTCCATTCTGTGCTGTTTACAAAAGACATAAATCAGGAAAAAACTTAAATATATAAATGACCCATAAGTCAATATACTTGTATATATGAATGGATCAGAAAAAAAAAATCCTTAATTCACAGATATAATTACATATCATTGTATAAAATATCCAATTTGTTTACTTTACATGTTGCATAATCTAATTGCAGTTTTATTTTCTGCATTTTATCTTAATTTGACTGTTAATCCGATGTTTTTCTTCTATTTATAATTGCAACCGTATTTTCCTTCAGTTTATTTCAGAGCATCGGATGAAGTGGAAATTGGTCCATTTAGTGTTATTTGGCGCCAGCTCGTGGTGGAATCATTCCACAGCTGCTTTTGTCTGGAAGACTTTTGTCTACTCATCTTAAAGGCTTCTTCAGGTTTAACCTACAGGCTCATAAGCTTTAAGCTCACAAGGGAGAATGCAAAGAAGCTAAATCTGCCCTTTTTGGACTTAAATGTACATTAGAAAGCCTAAAAACTGTTTTACAGGAATCAAACTGTCAGAGCTCAGTGAAAACAAAGAACATCAATATTACAGCAATGCTGCTAAAACCCATGTTTATCCCAGATAAAAACATCTGAAGCAACAACTCAGTCAGAGAAGAAGAAACTGCAATGCCATAGGAGATAGATTTTTTGAGAAACACTTCAGAACCCTCCCAGAGGAGAAAAAGGTTTAAAGATCCAAGAAGAAGTTATTTTAGTATTCCCTCTCTGTTCCCATGACAATCAGTAAAGATACCAGAGAGACTTCTCAAAATCACAGGAATGTGCAGATTAACCAGATTTACTTTCAATAACTGGTCTAATGTTAAACAACCATCTTAAACCAATAAACAGTTTTGGTTTCTTTTTTTGGGGACTGTTTTATCTGGCAAATCTGCTTACTACTCATTCACAACAGTCCATTACACTCAAAATTCATTCGAAATCCATGGCTATAAAAGTGAACTTCAGCGATAAAAGTGCTGAATTTCCAACTGTTTGCCTCACCTCTTTAGCCCTCTGTTTGTTAGCCGTGTTGCTGCTAACGCAGACCCTAAAAGCCTGAAATGCAGGACGCCAAACTGCATCAACAGCAAACAAATCGCTTGAATGTCTGCTTTAGGGCATTTGTAATAGACGCTAAATGCAAAAGCGATTAAATTAAGTTCTTACTCAGTTATGTTTACTGCATTTGAACCACTAACTCTCCTGCAGATTCACAACACACGCTGGAGTGGAGCGGAAGCATAGACGCTCAGGGATTGGTCAATTTTACGGAAGGCGGGGAGGATAGTAGCATTTCAACCAATCACGACAGAGACGCGAAATGAATTGTGGGTCTCTCGCTCATTGTTTGAAGGTGCAGAGTTGAGTAAGATAGCAGCAGCCCAGGTAAAATAGCAGTGCATCTTTATCTGTTTAAGCATATATAAATGGCATTAAACCTTCCGTTTTTGCTTAAATAGTTTTAATTCTATATTGACCAGCTATTAAGCTACGTTTGTCAGTTGTTGCAACGTCGCCTTTTTACGTAACCGCGCTAATGTTAAGGCTAAAACCAGGTAAATGACTTGGTTTGTGAATATAACTCTATTGTAATGTTTTTAGACCATTTTAAGTTTTTGTTTTTTTCGTGGGTTTATTTAAAACGCCTGTGACTGTCCAAATGTGAAGACTTCCGGTTGTAAACAATCGAGGATGCGCGCGCAACTCGATTGGCTGTTTTTAGCCAGCTGGTATTAATGAAGGTTGTAATATTTTACACTTGTTACAATTCCTTTGGTGACAGTGTACAATGTAACAAGAATTACACAGCATTTTAACAATTTACATTTTATTTTTTTTATAAACCCCATCCAACCCCAACAATCCCTGTGCCAGCAAAGAAAAAAGAAATTAATAATTCAATCAATCAATCAAATAAATGAATTATTATAATAATAATTCTAATAATCATTAAAAAAATATCCCAAAATAAAAGTACCTTACATTGATGCTTGTTTACTAATGAGAGGGGAGAGTTGGAAGTTTTGACTCTGGTCTTTATTCCAGATGCTGATGCATATGAGTCTGTCTGGCTGATGTTTGGTCGTCTTGGGCTGAAGCTGATGGTGAGAACGAGATAGCAGCGATGATGGAGCTTCCTGAGGCGGAAGCTTCAGGCCAGAACGCCAGAAAAGAGGAGGGCGCATCGGCAGCAGCTCAGGAAGCAGACGGGCCTGAGCCAAAGCCGGGGAGGTCGTCCTTAAAAAGGGCCGCAGAAGGTGGACCCCAGTTACGGAATATCTTGCTTAGGACTCTTATACACTTCTACTATATCCATGTATTATCATTATTATTATTGGTTTTTGAAATTTAAAATATACCTTTTTTGGAGTACAGAACTAGACAAGATATGTGCTATATCCTTTATAGTGTAATTCTTGTGTGACAAATTGTCTGTTTTGCTCTGTTTCTCTGTGTGATGCTAATTGTTTGTTAATTTGCGTTTAAGGCAATAAAGTTCAAGAAAGAAAAAAAAGGGCTGCACAGGCCAAAGCGAAGAAAGCCAAAAAGGCCCGAGCGACGCGGCCAGCTCGGCCGGGCTACACCGTGCAGGAAGGGGAAGACATGCTGTTCGTCATCTCCAACGCCGCCTCCCAGTACGACGGCCTGGTTTGGGCCCCTAAGAAGAAGCAAAGCAGGAGGACGAAGCCGGGCAAAGAGAAGCTCAGAGCCACTCAGACTAAGAGAAAGAAGAAGGTCTGTGCCAGGAAACCGCCAAAGCCAGTGAAGGAGGAGCCAGCCGGGGCAGCCCCTCTGGAGGACGCCTGTCCCAGATGGGGCCACAGTGTGCCAGAGGAGGTGCTGGTCAGCATCTTCCAGATGGTGGTCGTCCATGACGGCGCCGTGCCCTTTCTCTGCAGGTATCAGTGTTTTTATGGCCAAACGGGACATAAAATGGTGAAAAGTCGGAGTCGGTTTTGTTGTCAATTCTGTAATACAAACTCAGATATATTCAGAATGGAACACAGTAAAAATAAAAAAATAAGTCTTAAAACAATAACTTAATAAGTCTTGATATAAGAAAAAAATAGCAACCATAAGTAAAAACTATAAAATATATGCTATGATGTAAAAAACAAAGGGCAAAATGGTAAACTAAGAATGAATAGCAGATTTCAGCAATGAGACAGAATGTTATAACTGGTTAATAAATACCTTATGGCTGGATAATAGCTTATAGCTGGTTATAGATTATAACAGGTAAATACCTATCTTATAAGTGGTAAATAACTTATAGCTGATTGATAACTTATATCTGGATAATATCTTATAGCTGGTTAATAACTTATACCTGGGTAATAGCTTATAGCTGGATAATTTCTTATAGCTGGTTATTAGCTTATAGCTGGTTATAACTGTTCCGTGCTGTAGGTGCTCTCGTCTGGATTCAGACAGATGTGGAGCCTGACTTTTCCCCTGTTGTGGTTCAGAGTGGGCCAGGTGTGCCGGCTGTGGAACGCCGCTGCCTCCAGTCCGGCCCTGTGGCGCAGAGTGACCTTAGGCCACTGCTGGATCGCACCAGGAAAGGACCAGCTGCCCAAAACCGAGAGGAGGGTGAAGGACACTGTCAGCTGGCTGGCAGAGAACAGGTCTGTGTCATTAGCCTTTTGGGCTACTAAGCTAACACTAGCCAGTGTTCTGGCTTTTTCATTTGAAGTGTCTTTTTGCTCTTTGGCTCCCTCTGCAGTTATGGGATAAAACTGCACTTCCCTCTGAGAAAGGAGGGAATTTAAAGGGATTTGTTGTCATGTTTAAGGAGCCAAACATCACCACCACAGCCCCAGAAATGGTGGGGATTGTTGTATTTTAGCTCACTGTTAATCAGGGGAAGTTTCAGGGCTGAATGTGTGCTTAGCAAAAGTTATGGTACAAATAGAGTCGCTTTTTATTTATTTATTTTATTTTAGTCATTTTTTAACTGACTTATAACATGATGCAATTAAATATATTCTGGTCAAATGCTGTCTTTTAAAAACATTTTTTTTAAAGTATACCAATTAGAAATAATATGGGAAATTGAGAGAATAAACAAAACATCCCAAGAGAATGTAATAAAATCTGACTGTTGACTATTTTCATTTGTTTTATAGATTCTCTCAGCTGCGAGACTTCTCTCTGTGCCACTGGAGGAAAAACATTGACTTCACATTGGAGGTAAAGTTGGATCTGCAAAATAGATTCAAAGCAAAGAGAGGCAGAAATCAGGCAGATTTGCTTGTGTTTGTATTTTCTTCCAAACAAAAACATTAAATCTTCTACAACAGTTTTTTTTGTGCTGTGATTCTTCTTTTTGCCTCATAATTACATTTTAAACCTGCACAGGGAAGGAAGCTTCCCCTTTTCTGCAGCTTGTTTTCAGCCCAGTTTGTGCTTGTTTGTGTTTGTTTCAGGCCGTTTCTCGGTGCTGCCCCCAGCTGGCCTCCATCAAGCTGTCCTTCTGCTCTGGGCTGACTACGAGGGCCTTCGACTGTCTGGGTCAGCACAGCCGCAGCCTGCACAGCATCGACCTGCAGCACTCAGAGGTACACACTCACCTGGCCGGCTGTCTGTGAGCGGGAGGCACCGTTTTCAGCCTGCATCCTCACCAGGATGTCGCATTTCTGCCTTGCTCTACCATGATCATTAATTTTTTTTTACTTTGGCCTCTTGGCCTCATAGCAGACGCTATCAGACACAAATATTTTTAATTTAAAATAAAATGGTTTTACACATTTAAGACCAATCATGCCCTTATTGTGTAATTAAAATGTTTTAAATGAGTTATTTGAACTGTCAGAATCCCATTTCTGAGTAAACTTTTAGATACATAAATACACACTTTAAATACAAATAAATTAACTACTGAAGAAAAACTATGACTGTACCATGACAAAGTCTAGTTATTAAACATATAAATCCTACTAATCCCAGATATCTAATAAAAAGCAGAAACATTATTTCTGACTTTCTTTGTTTCTTTGCAGCTTTTTTTCATTTAAGATGTGTTTTATTTTCCATTCTGTGGATGCAAATAAAGCTAATCTGAGAACAGTTTCACTCACACCTGCACACTTTCTCTTTGCTCCTTAAAAGCTAAACTTTTTGTGTTTTGTGGAAAAATAGACGAGCAGTTTTTATGTTTCAAACTGTCTTTTGCTGCAGTTTCAGGTTGAAGGACTCTTGGGGTACCTGGAGCAGTTTGGGGCCCAGATCAAACAAATCCTCTTCACTCATGGACAAAAGAATGACAGAGTCCTCACAGCTCTCAGCGTACGCCTATTTCCTCCTTACGTCTGGAGTTTAGGGCCTTTTCACATCTTTAATATGTGAACTCAAACACCTCAAACATGGTCAGATTTCTGCTTCTCACCCTCATTCAGTGCTTTCTTCTCACTAAAGTGGTGAAAGTGTCTATATTTTAAGGCTTTATAAACCTTTCCCGCTCTCTTATGAACATTTCCTTTCTCTTAAACTCTTTCTCAGCCCTAAGCCTGCCTCATTTAAACAAAATATGAAATTCTTGATGGTATTTGCTGGCCTCCCTTCAGCCATAGCGTTGTATCGGAGTCCGAAAACTGTCTTCTGCACTCTACCCATTTTATTTACATTTAATATTCTCTTAATGTGTTTGAACCTTTTTTATTTTTGGTTATTTATGCTGGAAAAAGTTTATTTTACCTAAAAAATTATTTGAATATTGATTATAGGGGAAAAAAAGAGCCATTTTCCTCTAAAATCCCACATCAGTCAGTGATGAGCTGTGATGAGATAGATAATTTGGGCCTTTTTTTTTCAAAGTTCAATGTGTGTTTTTTAAATTATGACACATAGCACCACTGCTCTCTGTCATGTTTTATTATTATTATTCAGAGTGTGTTGGGTCGGTCTTTTTTGCCAGGCCTCGCACACATTGTCTTGTTTTTCCTCCTCCAGAGGGGCTTCTGTCCTGATCTGGAGGTGCTGGAGGTCAACACCAAGCTGGACAGTCAGAACTGTGAACTTCCTGTTTTCATCCAGGCGCTGCAGAAGGCCTGCCCAAAACTCAAGGTAAAGTGGGTGTTTACTGGTTTATGCTCACATCTGGATCTGTTTGCTGCTTTAATGTAACATCGTGATCCGTTTGCTGCTCTAGTATCACATCTGGATCTGTTTGCTGCTTTAATGTCACATCTGGATCTGTTTGCTGCATTAATGTCACATCTGGAACTGTTTGCTGCATTAATGTCACATCTGGATCTGTTTGCTGCATTAATGTCACATCTGAATCTGTTAGCTGCTTTAATGTCACATCTGGAACTGTTTGCTGCATTAATGTCACATCTGGATCGGTTTGCTGCTCTAATGTCACATCTGGAACACAGTGAATTGATCATTTTGGGCTGATCTTGTTCTGTCTGTTGTTATCATTTCATTTTTGGAGCCAGTGGGGACGTTTTCGTCCTTTGTCCCATTTTAAAGGGACAGTCGGTGGAATAAGATGTGGGTGTTGTTTGAGTCCTGAAGCAGCTTCAGGAGGAAGTTCCCACTGTTTGTTTCCCTGTGGCCACTCAGGAGTTTCCTCTCCCTCCTCCCACCAGACCTTCCGGATGCTGAACGTCAGACCTCTGCATAAGACGATGAGAAACTGCTGTGACCCGCCGTCGGGCTTCCCGCTGCTGGAGGAGCTCTGCATCGCCACCACGTCCTTCTCCTACATGACCGACAGAGACCTGATGGACATTCTGTTTGGCTCCAGCAGGCTGCGCGTGCTGGACCTCCGAGGCTGCTCCCGCATCACGCCAGCCGGACTGGCAGCGCTGCCCTGTGCTGGTGGGCTCCAAAAGCTAAAAAATAGTTTGTAGAAAGGCTGAAAAATTGTTTTTAGAAGGGCTGAAAAGAGTTTGTAGAAAGACTGGAAAACTGCTTTTAGAAGGGCTGAATAACAGTTTTTAGAAAGGCTGATTAACAGTATTTAGAAAAGTTGATAAACTGTTTTTAGAAAGGCTGAAAAATTGTTTTTGAAAGGTTGAAAAACTGTTTTTAGAAAAGGCTGAATAACTTTTAGAATGCCTGAAAAAGTTTGTAGAAAAGCTGAATAACAGTTTGTAGAAAGCTCACTAATACTGATTAGATTATAAAGTTAACTGCAGAATAAATGTGGAATTGGATGCAGTGACACCGAAAAAGTGGGATGGATGGATGGATGGAATGTAAGATAAATTGATCAATAGACAGATTAATAGATAGATGAATGGATGAATTTAGACTCTGCCCTTGGCTCATGTTTCAACACTGAAAATCAATTATTTCCTCTTTTGTCAGAAAAACAAACAAACAAACAAAGATTTGAGATTTTATTTTGAGTGTTCCTATTTGAACCTTCCAAGAGTGGATTATACATTTTAAATCTTTGGTGGTTCAGTCTTCCTTCCATTTAAGCCCTGATGGGATCAGAGGCCTGGTGAGCTCATGCTGGGTGTTTCTCTGGGTTTCCTCCCTCAGAGCTGGAGTGTCTGTTCTGGGGACAGTACTTCACCAGCTACATGGTGTCTTCACTGCCCAAGACGGGGCTCCCCCTGGTCACCGAGAAGTGGGGTCGCACCCTGCAGCAGCTGGACGTGGCCAACCAACTGTTCACAGAGGAGGACCTGGGGCTGGCGGTGGGGCTCCTGGCGCCGGCGGCCGAGGCTGGCAGGCTGCGCTCCCTGAACCTCAGCGGGACCAGGATCACAGCACAGGCCCTCAGGTATCCACATCTGGGTCTGTTTGCTGCTCATAGGCAACATCTGGGTCTGTTTTCTGTTGTGAGGCCACATGTGGATCTGTTTGCTGCTCTGAGGCAACATTTGGATCAGTTTGCTGCTCCAGTATCACATTGTAACACATCTGTTGTAAAATCAGATCTGGATTCCTTTGCTGCTCTAATGTCACATCTGGGTCTGTTTGCTTTTCTGAGGCCACATCGGGATCAGTTTGCTGCTCCAGTATCACATCTGGATCTGTTGTAAAATCAATCTGAATCTGGATTCCTTTGCTGCTCTAATGTCACATCTGGGTCTGTTTTCTGTTGTGAGGGAACATCTGGATGTGTTTGCTGTTCTGATGTCACGTCTGGGTCTGTTGTAAAATCACATCTGGATTAGTGTGCTGCTCTAATGTCTCATTTTGATCTGTTTGCTGTTGTTAGGCCACATCTGGGTCTATTGTAAAAATCACATTTGGATCCATTTACTGCTCTGTCTCATCTGGCTCTGTTTGCTTCTCTAGTATCACATCTGGATCTATTGTAAAATCACATCTGGATTTGTTTGCTGCTCTATTGTCACATCTGGATCTGTTTGCTGCTCTAATGTCACATCTGGATCTGTTTGCTGTTCTGGTATCACATCTGGAACACAGTGAATTGAAATTTTGGGCTGATCTTGTTCTGTCTGGTGTAATCATTCATTTTTGGAGCCAGTTGGGTTGTTTTCCTCCATTCTCTCATTTTAAAGGGACAGTGGAATAAGATGTGGGAATAAGATGTGGGTGTTGTTTGAGTCCTGAAGCAGCTTTAGGAGGAAGTTCCCACTGTTTGTTTCCCTGTGGCCACTCATGAGCTCTGTTTGTCTTTACAGGGGAGTCATTGGGCAGCAGACGGCCATGGAGTACCTCAACCTCTCATCCTGCCGCTACCTTCCAAGAGGAATGAAAAAGATTTACAGGCAACAAGAGGAAATCCGACAGCTGCTGGACAAACTGGAATAGATCTCTTATGTTCTTCTGGAAATCCAAACAGGGGAGACTTCTTTGTTGTTTATACCTGGATTTTACCTCCTCTCTCTTTTATAAAGTTTTAGATATGATACAATTCACTTAATTTAGAACAGTTTAGGGGCCAAATAAGTGGTGAAATTCAGCTACAACACTCCAATAAACCCAATTTAAAAATGGACTTTCTCTCTGAAACGGTCGTTTTCCAGATGTTTTTCTCAGTTTGCAGTATAATTGGGGTTTTTGGATCCTAAAATGCAAAACTTGAGGACATTTACTTTTATACATTTCAGTTATTTGTATACTTTTTTCATCTTATTTAAAAATAAAAGTGTCAGTTGTAAATTTGAAGCAGAAATAAAAGTTAAAAAACAACTTTGAGGTTGCCATTGTATTAAATGATCAAACTCTTAACCCTTTTAAACTTAGTGAATTTTTGCTTATGGCCCTGAAATGACTCCATACAGAAACGCTTTACACGGATACATTTTTTGTGATGTTTAATTGGTCTTTGAGAAGTGTTCCAGGTAGTTTGAAACAAACACAGATTTCTATTCGTAGCAGATCAAACAAAAGTATTTAAAGGGAGAAACATTTATACACTCCAGACAAACAAATCCAGCACAGTAACTGAGTTTCCCTTTTTGTAGAGAGATTAATTGATAAAAATAGTCACATTTAACCCTGGAAATAAAACATTTTCACCATTTAATTTCAGACAAAACCTTAAACCAAAAGGAAACATATGACTTGGAGTTAATTGATAATCTGTAATTAAATCAGAGTTGGAAAAACAAAACAAATCCTTTGTCCCCAGAGTAACATTAACAGAAGGCAGTGAAAACTGGAATGGATGTAAAAAATATATATGCTTTAAAAAGTGCGGAAAGTCCTCCGATAGAAACAGCACTCATTATTCACAGCAGAAAGACTTCATCCTTTAAACTCGTTTGGGCAATTGCTGGGTGGTAATGTGGAAACGTCTACAATTACTAAAAGGTTTACATCTAAGACAGGATACTGAATTAAAATGAAAATAAGAGATCCTAAAACTTAACACTTTCCCTACAAAACGTCAAATGCTGGATCGATTACTTTTACTGTGTAAAACTCATTTTTGCAAGGGGAGTAAACTGAAGCCAGTCTTAGGATCTGTTTTACACCTCTCAATGAGCTGGAGATAGGTGAGGTTCTCCTGGGTGTTG